AGCTCCGGGCAGGGGCAAAGCTGGTGCAGCCGGCAAGACAGGCCCGGAGCTGGCAGCAGGGGAAGGGGAGGAAAGGGGAGGTCGGCCGGGTCTGGGGTGGGGGGCGCAGTGCGCTGGTGCCAGGCGAGGGATCCCCCTCTTCCCCCCACCCCCACACGCTCCCCTAGAGACCACCAGTCCCTCACGACCCACCTGCCAGACGATCCGAGGCAGAAAACTAGGGCTTCCCAGGTCAGAATGACAAGGTTCTGCTGCGGTCCCCTCCGAAACGACGTGCGCTGCGAGCGAGCTGGAGGGCGCATGCGCCGTGCGGCGGCTGCCTCCACGTGGCCCGGGGCCGCGCAGAGACTACAACTCCCAGAATGCCGTGCGAACCCGCCGGGGCGGAGCGTTTCTGCAGGGATTGCCTGGGGCTGGTCCGTCCGGTGCGGTGAGACGCGAACGGTGCGAGTGCACGGGATTGTTCTCTCCGAGGGGCCTGAAGAGAAAAGGGTTAGCCATGTCGTCCTTAATCAGAAAAGTGATCAGCACCACGAAAGCCCCAACCGCCATTGGTCCCTACAGGTAACTCAACGTGTGGAGCGGACCGGACCCCAGGCGTGCGGGATCGGGGGTTCGGGACTGAGTCCCCCGGGATCTGAGCTGGGGAGGACCTCGGGGTTCATCCGCAACCTTACCCAACACGCGAGGAAACCTAACCAGGGAAAGGGGGCAACGCACCCGGAGACCCACAGTGAGTTAGGAGCACAATGGGAGGGGGACCTGCGCTCCCCGGGACTTCGTCCAGACGTGGGGTGCCTCGCTAGCAGGCAGCCAGCCAGCAAGTGACTCCGGTTGGAAGTGGTCTGTTTTCGAACTTTTTTCTCTCTTTCTTCCTTTTTAACAGCTTTGGGGAACTAAAATTCACATACACCCAAAGTCCATCCCTTTGTACAATTCAGTGACTTTTACTGTACTCACAAAAAAGTGTAGCCATCGCCACTATGTGATCTCAGAACATTTTATCACCTGGAAAAGATACCCTATACCCACTAGCAGTCACTCCTATTCACCTCTTCCCTCAGCCCCTGGCAACCGCTAATCCGCTGTGGGTCTCTCTAGATTTGCCCGTTCTGGACATTTCCTGTACTAAATGGAATCCTACAATATGGAGTCCTTGGTGACATCTTTCACTTAGCACCGGCATTTTCAACTTTTTTCATTTCATGGCGCACATAAACTAATTACTAAAATTCTGTGGCACACCAAAAAATATACTTTTGCCAGTCTGGCCCCCCCCAAAAAAAATTAGGTATCGTTTTGATTCATTAACTCTGGACAGATATTGTTGTGTTGGCTGTTGTCCTTTCTGTTATTTGACAGTCTAAGGGAAAAGAGGTCAGTGCCCCTGACTAAATAGTCCGGTATTGGGTGTTCTGAAAATTATTGCGCACACTGGTTGAAAATCGCTGATTTAGCATAATGTTTGGCTAACCTTCTCTTAACTCGAAGGGTTAACCCTATGCACAGATGCTTAGCAAATCCCTGCACATCCACCTCAGATACTAGTTTTTACAGCACCTATACAAATGCTTTGTGATGTTTTGAATTCATTTGCTCATACTTCCCACTAGTAAAGTCAAATGCAGATCATGACTAAGATCGTTTCTAAGGTTGCCCGCGTGTTCTAGGAAAATACCCATACTGGTTAGAAAGTCTGTCCTGGGCATGTTTATTTCCACTTGTCAGAAGCGCTGCTAAATAGAAAAGTTGATTTCTTTTATGAGACTTTATTTTCTTAAAATGTCTAACCTTTAAACTACTGGATTTTATATGCATTCTTGTAGACTTTTACTTTCCTAATATAATTTTTGTTATTTTTAATTCTTCACTAAACTATAGTCTGTAACCATTTCTCCTATTTTAAAATAGTCCATAGTGTCGGTTCACTGTTAAAAGAACTCACTACAGCTTGTAAACTTCTGCAGCGGGAACACATGAACTTTGACAGACATGCATTGAGTACCCACCATCTGCCACGCACTTCAAGGGATACAAAAATGTGTAAGAACCAAAAAAGAAACATTTTAATTGAGTATGTTGTGTGGCAGGCACCATGACAACCACCTTCTTCTCTGAGTCCCATCCCCATTCTACAAAAAGAAAACTGAAGCTTGAAGTGAACTTGTCCAAGATCAGTCTGTGAATGAAAGTGACAGCTTGTTTTGAACAGTCCTAGCTCCCTTTTCTATTCCACAGTCATGAAAAATAGCACTTCTGTGTGGCAGAGCAATAACTGTTCTCGTAGGGCTAGAAATAAAATGCAAAGGCAGTGAGGGGTACAGGAGGTGGGGAGTGGGGCAGGGGGCAAAAGAGGAAAAGAAAAAAAATTGATGCTAACCTTTAGAAAGAAAAAGATTTAGGAAGACTCCTCAGGGGAGGTAGTCTTTGAGTTGGGTTTTGAAGGTTGGGTTTGCCATTACAATACTGTTTTTATTCTTGATTTTTAAATTACAGTTGAACCCTGAACAACATGGGTTGACCGGTGGGAGTCCACTTATGCACAGCTTGTTTTTCAATACTGTAAATGTATTTTCCTAATAACATTTTCTTTTATCTAGCTTACTTTGTTGTAAGAATAGGGTTTATAGTACATATACAAAATATGTGTCAGTCACCTGTAAGGCCTCTTTCGGTCAACAGTAGGCTATTAGTAGTTAAGGTTTTGGGAAGTCAGAGAAGTTATACGTGATTTTTCCGCTGTTGTGGGGGTGGGTGCCCCTATCCTCACATTGTTCAAGGGTCACGTGTACTCTGTTAAAGACGTCAACAGGAAGTCATGGGGGGAAGCCATTCCAGATAAAGGAAATGACTTGAGGCACAGAGGTAGAAGAATATATGGCATAAAGGTTTGCGGAGGAAGTTTTAGTGATCCAAGTACCATTTTTACTCTTGTTTTTATTCATTTGCCAAATCTGTGTACCACCTATATTATAATTTACTTAACACTTGTCATTGAGATGGCTTACTTAATTTACAAAGGAAACTTTACAACCGTACTCTAAGTAGAAAACGACCCAATAGAAGGTAACAGTAAAAAAATAAACTCCAGTAAACCAACGTTATTAAATTCCAGCTAGATCCTGCAGTGGGCTCGGAACCCAAGGCCTGCTCTCTCTTTGGTGAAGGTGATAGGTTTCTTTAGCTTGATTTCTGAAAGGGATGTTGCTTCTCCCTGGAATCAGAGGACTGCCGTCCTAATCGCTAACACTTCCTGATGCTTACTCAGCACTAGGCACTGTTCTAAGTGCTGTATGTGCACAGGTACTTCCCAGCCTCACTTTTCAGATGAAGAAGGAGAATCGAAAAGGAATCCTTTCCTTGCTGTGACTCAGTGTTTATGTATGACTTACATTTGAACTTTGGGAAACACTGGTTGGTTAGGAGTTAGACTTTGAATTGTTGTTTTGCTTCTTGCTAAAAATTAGCTTTTAGCCAAGTCAGGATTGTGATGGTTTCCAATGATAAACTAAAGAGTATAAAGTTTTATTTGGTATGCAGTGAGGAGCCATCACATGTTTTTAAAGAGGAAGTAACAAGATCAGATCTCTCTCCCTCTTTTTTTTTTTGTTTGTTTTATACTTGTCTGGAGGTGACTGGCAGCAATGGCTAAGTTAGACAAACCTGCTAATCCACAGGTTTGTTTAGCACATCACAAATATCTTTTCTCTTGACACGGATCAGACCTCTTTTAAGAAGAGAATTATAGTCATTTGAGAAGACATTAAGAATAGTTAAGGGAGGATTACAATAAAAGTAGAAATCAGTCATCTTTTTTCTTCTGCCCTGATCCTTCTCCCTCCATCACCCAATGGTTTTACTTCCGTGACCCTTAGCAAAAACAAAGGGGTTATAGGCCGGCTGATGTGACTCAGTGTTTGAATGTCAACCCCTGAGCCAGGAGGTCACGGTTCAATTCCCAGTCCAGGCACATGCCCAGACTTCCTCCTCGATCCCCAGTAGGAGGCATGCAAAAGGCAGTCGATCAGTAATTCTCTCTCATCACTGATGTTTCTATCCCTCTCTTCCTCTCCCTCTCTCTGAAATCAATAAAAACATTTTTTTTTAACAAGCGGGGTGGGGATCATAAAGCCTGGAGCATACACCTTCTTCCAGTATGTACTTTGTTCAAGAATGAACGCCTGAGAGTAATATCCCTGGTTGACTCAAAGGCGGGGGTCAACTATCTGTAAAGCTGCAAGCAAAAAAAGAAGGGGATCTTTATGTGAATATGCAAGTAGGACGAGGGAAAAGCCATCAACCAGAGCTCATTGTGTGGGGACTTTTCAGGACATTGTGTGTCTTGTGCTTTTTCTGTATCCAAAGATGACACAAGGCCACTTGAGATGCTACGAATTTTCAATATTTTATGGAGAAAAAAACATTCCAACTAACGATTTATATCCTGATAAAGTGAATTGGACACGTTTTATAACCATTTGGAAACAAGAGTTTTGGTGCATGGAGTGCACTTTTTGAAAATTCTGGGCCTGCTCCAGGAGGAATTTAGATGTGTTGAACTTTCAGTCCCTGGCATTGGGATGGATGGGGTGTTGTCACTAATTAGCTAATCAGTCAGCACATTTCAGGGAGACTTCAGGTCAGAACCTTGAGAGATTGCCACACCACGTTGCTATTGCATTGCTTTCCCTTTTGCTAGCACACCATCCAAATAGTCGTAATGTTGAAGTGATGGTTCAGGTGGCACAGATTATGATGTGAGAATTATTACTAGGATGTTTTTGAAGAGTTTTATTACCCTTTGACTTGGCTGTAGAACAACATGCTTTTACATTTTCTGGAGCCTAATGACTTGTCTACAGGTAGGATTCTTATGCCCAGGACGCGTCAGCTATCCAGTTATGTTTGTGAACAACCTCTACTAACTCCTAAGAGATAACTCACATAGCTCTGATCATCTCAGAAGTCCAGGGCTTATTTTCTGAGAATAGATGAGTTCCTTTTTATGGTGGAAAAAATATTTTAATGATAATGCGTATGGGCTTAAACTACATTTCAGATATGGGGAGGGTTAAAGGTACTTTTCAAAGGGCCAAGGGTAGCACAGAACAGTTAATAGAGACAGTGCTAGCTGATAGTACTGTTCAACCCGAGAAAAGCTGACACATTAACAAACTCAGCAGTTACCTATGTGTGGGCTAGGGTGAAGCCAGATGGTGGAGAAGAATTCCCAGACTGTCTAAATCCTGTTACCAAGTTTAAAGTTAACCTCTTCAGTTCTCCACAACCCACCCTAAAAGCTAGTAGGTCCTCCAAAAAAGATACTTTAGTGAAAGTCCAAGTTGTTGAAGCTGCCAAGTGGAGAGCAAAACATCAAGAAGTTACCATGTTCCCGCTATGTGTAAGGAATCACCTAGGCCAGGGGTCCTCAAACTACGGCCCACGGGCCACATGCAAATACAAATACTGTATTTGTTCCCGTTTTGGTTTTTTACCTCAAAATAGGATATGTGCAGTGTGCATAGGAATTTGTTCATAGTTGTTTTTCTTAAACTATAGTCCGGCCCTCAAACGGTCTGAGGGACAGTGAACTGGCCCCCTGTTTAAAAAGTTTGAGGACCCCTGACCTAGGCCCTGCACAGCCAGAGACATAAGAAGGCACTGCCCCTGCCTTCAAGGAGTTTACAGTCCCGCACACCCAGGAGTTAGGATAAGAACAGAACTAACTATCCCCCTGTGACTGGTATAAGAAAGGCTCCACCAGAGGACCTCTGGGGCTCAGCAGGCAGAAAGGCTTAGTTTTGCTCAGGAAAAACGTGTGTGTGTGTGTGTGTGTGTGTGTGTGTGTGATGGTTTTCAATGTAGTTTCGTTTACAGTAGCAAAATATTGGAATCAATGTAAATAGTTAAAGTAGATCCAGACAATGAAATGTGCCGCTGTCAAAAGAATGAGAAGCTCTTAACAGGGCAGGGATTCAAATAAAGTGTGGCTCTTAAGACACTGGACAAGACTTCTTTCATGATCATTAGCACAGTCTTTGATGCTAATGTAAAAGCAATGATTCACAGCGACCTAGGGAGCTCCTTCCTTCACCAAAGCAGCAAAACCAGCCGTGTTACCAGGCGCTCAGGCGGTTTTCATGACAAGCCACGTTTCACTGTTTGATCTCTGTGGTCTTTCCCGTTTCCAAGATGAGTTCGCAAAACAATCTTGATGGCAGCAGCATGCTCTGAAAGGATAAAGAAAAGAGAAACTAGCTTCACTAAGAAGCATCAGAATTCCATTCGGGTACATGCTGAAAGAAAACAGCATTACTTTCACATAACAATTCCTCTAAAGCCTTGGCTTGAGAGACTACAGGAAGAAGAATGTCACCGAAAGAGGCCTTCATTGTTCCGCTCCCCATCACGAATCATCCAGTGAGCTTCACCAAGGCCTCTCCTATCATATCACGAATTGCTTACAGGATTTTGTAAAACAAGGCTTTTGTGTTGGGGTGAATCTCTCCTATCATATCATTAATCTTGCTTACAAGATTTTGTAAAACAAGGCTTTTGTGTTTGGGGTGAAAACAGATTTAGGGAAGGTTCTAGCCTTTTTCAAATTAAGCCACCTTCTTAGCAAAACAGTGCCCACTTTCCAGATACTTCCTGGCTGGGCAGACATAGAGGCTTCTCCAGCTTTGTTGGCTGTGGCTTCTATTAGCAAGAACCTTGCCAGCAAGAAAAAGCATTGTATCCCTGCACACTCAATCTTTAGAGCAAGGTCAGAGGACACACAAGGTTTGTCCTACTTTCTTTTTCTTTTCTTTTTTATTGTATTTTTAAAACATGTTTCCATTTAAATGAGACTCTGCATCAATACACAGGGCATGGTCAATTTTCCTTAATTCTTATCCATGAAAAACTGGTATGTCTCCATATGTACCAACAATGAAAACTGAACATAAACTGCTTATACTTCATTTGCCCATTTTTTATTGGGTTATTTGTCTTCGTATTATTGTTATAAGAGTTTTTTTATACATTCTGGAGACAAGTCCTTTTTAAGGTATATGTTTTACAGATATTTTCTTGGTGTGACTTGTGTTTTCGTTTTCCTGATGACATTTTTCAGTAAGCAAAAGGTTTCAATTTTAATAAAGTTGATGATCAGTTTTTTAATTTTACATTTTGTGCTTGTGTCCTAGCAAAGAAATCTTTCAGCCCTGCATTTTCTGTTTCTATTTTATCTATCTGTTCACTGCAGTCAAGCTGTGTTAGTCGACAGGACCCTTTACATCTCAGGACAGCTGGGCATGGACCCTTCCAGTGGACAGCTTGTGCCAGGAGGGGTGAAAGAAGAAGCTAAACAAGTAGGTCATTTTCCACATTTGATGTTTTCTTTCCTATTACTTTTTAATTTTGAGGAGTATTAAAAACCCACTTGGCTGATTTGTTTTAGATAAATTACCAGATAAATGCTTTTTAAGTTACTTACTGATTGATTTAAGACAATTGCATGTCAGTAGAAAGGGGGAAAAATTAATTTTTTAAAATTGATTTTAGAAAGAGAAAGTGGGGGAGAGGGAGAGGGAGGGAGGGAGGAAGGGAGGGAGAGAGAGAGAGAAACATCTATTTGCTGTTCCACTTGTTTATGCATTTATTCGTTGATTCTTGTATGTGCCCTGACCAGGGATCGAACTTGCAACCAATAGGTATTGAGCTACCCGGTCAGGGCAAAAGTTGGAAATTTAATGAATCATTTAACAACCAACCAGTAAAACAAACATACAAACAAAAAGATTATTCCTTCCAAAGTGACTTTAAATCTGAATTATTGACTGTTAACTAAGCTTATTATGGTAATCATTTCACAATAATACTTCTATCAAATTATCATGTTATACACCTACAACTAGTACAGTGTTATATGTCAATTATATTTTAATAAAACTGGGGGGGGGAGCCCCTGAATTATTGAAATCAGATAGCACCTTGCCACTTCCATAAGGATTGGGAAATTTTTTTATCAGGGCCACTGACGCACATAAACAACCTCACCACCACAGAAGTAAAAGTCAGCATTTGTTAGTAAGAGAAAAATATCAAAGATTACATGCAGTATGTTTTCTAAGTAATACTGGGGAATACAGTTTAATCCAATAAGTAGAATTAAGTTATAAATTTAATGCATTCACTGAGTCACTTGTAATATCCATAAAGATCCAGTTAAATAACTTTTTTTTTAAAAAAACAAAAAAGCTTCCTAAACTGGTCTACCTTTTTAATTTTTTAAAAATATAGTTTTATCGATTTCAGAAAGGAAGGCAGAGGGAGACGGAGAGAGAATAGAAACACCAATGATGAAAGAGAATCATCATTGACAGCTGCCTCCTGTATGCCTCCCATTGGAGATCGAGCCCACAACCCTAGGCATGTACCCCAACCTGGAATCAAACCACAGCCTCCTGGTTCATAGGTTGATGCTCAACCACTGAGCCACACTGGCTGGGCAGTTCAATAATTCTTATAAGTGAATCGCTTCTTGGCCTTCCTCCAATTGAATGATCTGTCTGAAATGGGATGAGCCATGATCTCCTTTTGTGAGTAAAAGGTCGCTTCCTCAGTGCTAGCCTGGTGACCTGGCCTCATTGCTCCAAACCCCATTCCCTGAGGCATTCTTTTTTAAAAATAATCTATTTTTATTGATTTCAGAGAGGAAGGGAGAGGGAGAAAGAAAGAGAAACATCAAGTTATTGTTCCATCTATTTATGCATTCATTGGTTGATTCTAAATTCTTTTTTTAAATCATGTGGGTTTTTAAAATATATTTCTGACTCTTTACAGAGAGAAGAAGGGAGAGAGATAGTCAGAAACATCAATGAGAGAGAAACATCGATCAGCTGCCTCCTGTACATCTCCCAGTGGGGATGTGCCCGCAACCCAGGCACATGCCCCCGACCGGAATCGAACCTGGGACCCGTCAGTCCGCAAGCCGACGCTCTATCTACTGAGCCAAACCGGTCTCGGCTCTGCATCTTGGTTTTATTTCATCATGTAACTCTTTATATTGACCTTTTCATATTAATTTAGTTGTATGGATCTAGTGTGATTTATTTAGAGGTGGCCTAGAAAGAGTATAATTTCCTTTTAGGAAAATTTCTCTGCAACATAAGCTATTTAAGGAAGTATTAGCAAAAGATGATTGATTGGATGGAATTACTGCTTTAATGTAACATCCATGCCTTAGGCCTTCTTGTCTTGGTTCACAGGCTCTTACAAATATGGGTGAAATCCTAAAAGCTGCAGGCTGCGACTATAGTAATGGTGAGCAATTTGGTATTACTTCCGTTTCTGTTGGGTATTTCTTTGCTCTCTTTGGAGAATACATGACATCCCGTAATATGTCATGCCATATCTTTGTTGCTTATTAAAATAGTTTTAATTTCAGTCCCATTTTAATCAAGACAGACATAGAACTATGCACTGTTTTTTAAGTAATGTTTTGGATTAGACCAAAAAGCTAACCTTAATGACAATGTATGTATCTTCTAGTGGTCAAAACAACTGTTTTGCTGGCTGACATAAATGACTTCAGTACTGTCAATGATATCTACAAACAGTGTAAGTAATTCGGCTTTATTGCCATTTTCCATTTTAAATAGAAATGAATGTATTAGCTTCAATGAGTGTGCATTATGAATTAAGAGAGGAGATGCTAAAAAAAAAAATGGTCATAGAGTTTGTCCTAAAATAACAGATAGTCTGATTGGACACATATAGTGTGCCTCCATGAGAAAATCCAAGACATTTATTTATATTCTATTCCCTAGAATAATATACTACAGCCCTATAAATCCATTTTCCTAAAGCTTAATTTTGTTACGCCCTTATCAGGCTTTTTAAGCCCTCCTAATGATTTTTGAACATAGATTGCATTTATTATCGCTATGATACGGTCTAGCCACCGTCTCTTTCTTGGCTCTCAGAACCATCAGCTGTTTAGTGACTGAACATTTCTGTGCTCTGGCTTCCTCAGATATAAAATAGGGATGAAACCTAATAGGGTTGTCGGAATGCCTAAGAGAGTCATTACAACATGTAAACACATTAGAACAGATGCCACTGTGTTGTAAGCACTTAGTAAATGTTATCTATTAACATTGTTGTCTCCATGGAGAAAATGGGTGTCCCTACCAACTGGTGAGGTGAGACGAAGGTGTAACTTGGAAAAAGCATCATTGCGTACTCTGTGCTGAAGAAATGGCCAGAGTAAACCGAAGTTACAGACGCGGTGCCTGCCAGAATCACTAGGGATGGGCGGCTCTTCCCCACTTAGATAATTATTTTATAACTTTAAAAACAATCCCCTTCACATCAAATAAGATCAAAGTGAGTATTTTCACTTTTTCCCCCGAAAGCTAAGACATTTTAAAAAGTACTAGAATATCGCATAGGACTCATATGGCAAAATATTTTACCAAACAAACACGAGTGAGACTCCTTTGTCTGGTGTCACACGTCTCTAAGAACCAAGAATCCTGTGAAGCGCTTTCCCAGAGCTCAGGTTCTGCAGGGCTGGGTACCAATACAGCATCCGAGAGCTAAAACGCAATTCTGTTACATTTAGATTTCAAGAGCCATTTTCCCGCGAGAGCTGCTTACCAGGTTGCTGCTTTGCCTAGAGTAAGTACACCTTAAGATGTCTAATGTACACAATTTTAAATTTCTATCTACACTGCTTTCTGAAGAGAACAAACTAAGCCCTGTAGCAGGAAACTCCTTTAAAAGAAGCAGCAGTTCCAGCTTTCCAGGGACTTAAGGTCTAAAAGGAAACACTCAGTATTACATGCATAGGGGGTGGCGGAGATTAAGAAACTTAAGAAAATTAAAAACTTAGTCTTAAAAATTCAGAAAGTTAAAAATTAAGGCCACACATGAACACAACACAATCAGAGTACTTACATTGTGAGAAAAAGTAAAATAGCAGCGATAGTGTTTCATTGTTATTTAGAGACTATATAAATTGAGCCAGATTTGTGAGGGGTTGTTTTAATTTAATTGGTTGTTACTTGGAATGATCAGACTATAAGACTTATTAAGGTAATTAGAGGCCCAGTGCACAAAATTCATACACGGAGGGCCCCCTTCAGTCCAGCCTGCACCCTCACCAATCCGGGACCCCTCAGGGGATGTCCAACTGCGGTTTAGGCCCGATCCCAGTCGGACATCCCTCTCACAATCCAGG